TGAGACCTTTTAAACGAGCTACCAAATTTTGTATGGCACTTATGTTTGACATTAAGGGAATATTTCTGTCATATTTGAAATTGAAAAATGATGACATCAGTGTACACTTTAACTGTTCAGTGTCTCGCTTGAATATTTTCGACAAAGTATCGTACATGTCTTTTGCTGTCTTCGATGTCACTATATGAGGCTTCACTGTTTTATCAATAGTTTTGATAATGTAAAACCTAGCTCTGGCGTCCTTTGCAGTCCATGTTATCAGCTCCTTTTCTTTGTCTGCTGATGGTTTAGCTTCTTTTCCACTGATTACATCCATCATACCTTTGACTTCAAACACAGTATTTATTTCCATTTCCCACAGGAGAAATGACTCTGCGTTCTTGAGTATTGTGAGTCCAGATACATCAGTGTTTTCTTCTTGAGTAGACATTGTGTCTGATTTTCCTGTGATCGTCTTGGTTATTATACCTAGTATTTGTTTCACAGAAGTTCTTCTGGGCCCATAACCTGATGTGCTATTTGCACTTTTGTATATTTTTATATTGAAATAAACTCTTTCACGTTTATTTATATCAGTTTTATTTTTGAAAAACTTTATATTACTTTTTCTTCAACTTGTTTATAACAACATAACAATTGAATACATTTTGTTTTTTCAACTTGAACGTTTCAACACACTTTATATTTTTCATGCTTCAGTGAAATATGACATTTCATATTTCATTCAGAATTGCCAACTTGTCACTCATTAGTAGATATGATATTACTTAGATGTTTATAATTACCAACCTCGAAACGAAATTAGAACTTTTATATCTAGTACAACAGAATAAAAGCTTTCTCAAGTTTTTGTTTGTCGATGATTATTTTGTTGCCAACTAGTGTATTTATCATCATTATTATTATTTAATGTTTATTATTATTAATGATTTTTATAGTACAGGGTGTTTCATTGGGAGAGGTAAATAATTCAACTGTGGATAGGGGTCACTGGGGTGATTTTAAAAAACCCATGGTTAATGGGTCTTCAACTTCTTATAACCAAGATACAGGATGTTTCATCAATTTTGTCCATATCTTCGTAATCTCATAACTTTCCAACCAACCTGTATATATTTTTAAAAATTGGTACACTTGCTCAATCTACCCTGTGGAATTGATTGAGGCAACAACAAAAGATAAAATGCAGGTCCGGCTTCACTCAAAATTCACAAATTCTTTCTGCCAGAAAACAACACCCTATACATTCGAATTTCAATTTTTTTTTGTCATATCTGAAAAGAACATCAAAATTTCTATTCAACGATGTGCTTTTTATTCGTGCACAGACGATTTTAACTATTCATATTATGTGCTCAAAATATTATATTTGCTCATTTTGGGGTACAAAATTGGAATCAGACGAGATTTATTAATTTTATTACTTCCTATTCAGTATACGTGAGTATTACATTCAGAAGGAGTATTTCATATTGTTCTTTGTTCCAGACTTAGTTGCAGGTCCGTTATCAGGGCTTTTAACGATAAGCGTTAATTAGATGTTTCTGGCAAACCAGACAACGGATAAATCTAAAAATTCGAAGGTATGTGAAAATTAACATGATCTACACGTCTGAAATATTTTGAACAATTCGGCGTTGCCGCTTCTACTCGAAAGTAGCAGTAACTTTGATTTTTGAAATGGGACACCCTGGATGCTTCCTGAAGAGCTGATTTAATCGAAAGGTCTAGTGGGACTAATAACTGAGATATTTAGAGTGAGAAAAATCGAGATGTTTCAACTTTAGAATTATTTTGCGAAAATATTTATTATTGATCAAAACGGCTTTTATGTCCCTATCTTAACTTTGAATCTATTGACATTTGATCGAAACAAATACAGGATGGTTCATAATTCAGATTTCTGCACCATTCTGTATCTGTTTCAATTGAATATCGAATGGAGAGTTGAGATAGGGACATTGAAGCCGTTTTGACCATGCAATAATAAATAGTTTCAACACAAAACATTTTTAAAGTTGAAACATCTCGATTTTCCACATCCTATATCTCAGTTATCAGTCCCACTAGACCTTGAATGTTTTGAATCGATGAATTCTGCTGTTCAGCATACCAACATACCATCGAAATTTAAGATTAATTCGTTGCCTGGTTTGCCGAAAACGTCAAATTAACGCTCATCGTGAAAAGCCCTGTATAGTTTTGATAACGGACCTGCAACTAAGTCTGGAACAAAGAACGATATGAAATACTCATTCTTAATGTAATACTCACGTATACTGAATAGGAAGTAATAAAATTAATAAATCTCGTCTGATTCCAATTTTGTACCCCAAAATGAGCAAAAACAATATTTTGAGCACATAATATGAATAGTTAAAATCGTCTGTGCACGAATAAAATGCACATCGTTGAATAGAAATTTTGATGTTCTTTTCAGATATGACAAAAAAAATGAGAAATTCGAATGTATAGGGTGTTGTTTTCTGGCAGAAAGAATTTGTGAATTTTAAGTGAAGCCGGACCTGGATTTTATCTTTTGTTGTTGCCTCAATCAATTCCACAGGGTAGATTGAGCAAGTTGTACCAATTTTAAAAAATACATACAGGTTGGTTGGAAAGTTATGAGACAATGAAGATATGGACAAAATTGATGAAACATCCTGTATCTCGGTTATAAGAAGTCGAAGACCCATTAACCATGGGTTTTTTAAAATCACCCCAGTAACCCCTAACCACAGTTGAATTATTTACCTCTCCCAATGAAACACCTTGTATATAGATATTTGTATACTGTTTAAGTGAGTACTTCGTCATATTATTTCTTGTCTGTATTTTACCTAATGTTTTGCTTGTATCCAAACTCTTTTAAGTACTCTGTATTTTGACGTTTTTCTCAGACCTTGTACTCTGTAGAAATGAATAACCTATCTATCTATCTATCTTGTTATCTAATTAACTGACCTATTTTCAATGAAACTGTCTGATTTGTTCCGCAATTGTTCTCACAGGTTTTTTTTGCTACAATTGCTTCTATAAAGTTATCTAAATTTTGATTTAGACTTCTTGCGTGCCAACCATATGTTGGGTACTCGATTTTCCGAGAACACCCGTCCCTACATCTCCGAAGTTCCACAAAACTTGGCTGATGTTTGAAAATCTTCGCAGCAAGGGAACTCACGCTTGTTGTGCAGTTTATTCCATGTATATTATTTTCTTCAATTGCTTCTCCAAATATTGCACATATTATTTCACCCCTTCTTCTATAAGTTATGCTTCTCACACCATGTTGTATTGTGTCACACACCAGATCGAAGAAATTATTTTCATTTTTATAGTTATTTATGGATGTTTTCATATTTTCATAGTCAGCCACTGCCGCCAGAAGTATCTGAAATACGCTGTCGAACGCACAGGTATTTGTGAGCGACACATCTGATTTACCTATTTGAATTAGTCGCAAACACGAAACTGTTCCATTTTTGATACATAGTAATTTACCGTATGTTTTGCATCCTGGAACTCTACGGTATCTTTATTCAAATATCGCGATATTTTTTGAAATTTTTGGTGATCCGCCCTTTCCTCTCCAATTATCAATTTGTTGTGCGTTGCAAGTCGATCGTCTCTCCTAGAATTTTGAATGCAATCAATGCACAATATCATGACATCCTCCTCTTCTTTATAATAATATACTGATGAACATTTGGAACATATTTCACCTTTACACATTGTACATACTTGTGCATTGTTGGAATGTTCTCTACAATATTCGCAAACAAATCCTCGATTGATTTCTGAGGACAAATCTTGAAAAGGTTGCCTTTAAAGAATCGATTAATTTTTATGATTTGAACCAATTTTTTTTTCTTCTTCGAAACTTTCAGGAGGGTAACGTGTTTCATGTTTTATTCAAGTGATCGGGGACAGATAATCATCTAAAATATCTGAGAATCTACTATTACAATTATTAAACGTGTTTACGATTTCAGAAGAAATTGTGCTATTAACGGCAATGATCGGGAAATCTGAAGAAAATTCTTTTTCAATTTCGAAATTATTTTGTGTGACGTCCCTTGGGATATATATTTTAATGTGTCGTTGAGGTATATGCGAGATCGATTTTATACCACCATTGACATTTGCCTCCCCTTGATTTGGTTCGACTTCGATTATTTTCAATTTTCCGTCAAGGTATTCCATAAGTGTTCTCACTACTATATCTACTCGCATTAATCGATTGCGGAAAATACAATTCTTGATAATATTGAATTCCGACTCGACAGGGGCACTACTCGCAGGAATTCGCCCATAGCCAAAATCATCGCGGTAAATGCAACTCCAAAGAGGAATTGTTGCAAATTTTTTTATAAGTCGATCGGCGAAGGCAGTAAAATATCTGGGATTGAAATCATCCCAGTTTTCGCTCTCCAATTTTCTTTCAACCTCTTTCATCAAATCAATGCTCCACTGTTGCCAAAGGTTCGTAACTGAATTAGACCTTAGCCATTCGTCTCTTTCCTCACCATGTTTATCTTCTTCTTTCGATTCTTCTGGTCTTTTTCGTTAATACCCTGTACCTTCTCCACTTTTATCCTCGTCGCCAATTGTTCTTACCTTATAACTTTATTGAATAAAAGTCGAGAACTGATTAAAATGTCTATTCATTTTTGGGCCATTATACATCCTAGCCATTTACATATCTGATGCCAACTGACTACCTAGTTCCTCTGTCCTCGTACCCATACATGCGCATGTGTGCTTTCAATACTTATATGAACATTGTTGCCAAGTCCAGAACAATTTATTTAATTATTTTGTCCAGAATTTTATCTAAAAATGGGCGTAGTGAAATTCAAAATTTTGCAGTTAGTTCATCACCTTGCAAGAGAATGATGAACTTACTAATCTTTTGAGAAATGGTAATGAAATTTGAAAATTTCATTTTCTGGTGATTATTCTCACCAAATCAATTTTCAGACGATGAATTCACAATACAGTTTTTCGAAAAAGCCTTGAAAGAAGGCAGGTTACGACAATTTGGCATATTGGGCAGTGAAACCGACGATATGGAAATCATTCGCTTTGACCACTACGGGGTTGCTGAAATTGAAACCTCAGAAGGGACGTCCATAATAGAAAGTCAATCATTAGATATGGATAGTCAATCATTAGATGAATCAAGAGATACATTATTGGGACCTGAATTGACAAATAAAAGTATTAAAGAATAATAAATTCATAATGTTTTCAATACTAAGTTTTTCTTTTACAGAAACCAATACTTGGAGCACCATTTCCACCAAACTCTTGTTGGGCCTTTATGTTGAAAATCTAAAAAAAGTTGGAAAATCAGCAAATTTGAAAAACAAGAAGTCTTTATGGAAGTTCATAAGGGAAGAGATGGCAGAACAGGGTTATTTGTTCTCACCAAAGCAGGTAGAGAACCGTTATAAAACTCTGGATAGAGGATACAAAGAAAATACTTTGAATAATAAAAAACAGGAAGAAATAGAGGTAGCTGTGAATTCCAGAAGTGAGCACTAACATTATATTATAATACCAATGGAAATACAATTTATTTTAATTTTCAGGGAGTTAGATGAAATCTATGAGGAAAATAGAGCAGTTTATCCAGAGTACCTTTCAGGATCAAGGGGGACTGGAATATCTGCTGACGAATTTAAAAATAATTCTAGGGCCAGGGGTGGTAGAGATATTTCTGAAGAAATATCTTTCCACCATTAATTACTCGCGCTGGTGTATTTTGTACACCAGTGCAAAATTTCTTGCTACCATCGAACGTAGAAATTTTTTATGGCTCTAGACTCCCACCTAACCTATGTCTAACATGCCTGGGATGTGATAGATCAGTTTTGTGTGTGTTTGTACGTAAATTTTGACGCGTGGTCACGTTGGTGCCCATTGGTGCCTAGAATACACTGCGTGGAGAATAGGGTAAATTATCTAAGTATTCAATATTGTATACAAACACGTTAGTTGTGTATTGTGTGGACGCACTAAAAACAGAGTGACTTTTTTTTTTAAATTGCATTTCTCCGTTGGACCCAGCACTGGATCCAACGCCCCATAGGTCAATACTTGTGCGGGGTTAGGAAAGCATACGTTTTTGTTTCACCTGAAAACAAGTCAAATTCATGGTGGTGTACAAAATACACCGCGCGGGAAAAAGTTCGAATTAATTAGCGCGAGTAATCAAGGGTTAACTACAGGGCCACAGAGAGTGGAGAAACAAGTTCTCATGAGCAGATCTCCAAACCAAGTGATGGAGCACAGGAGGAAGCACATAATCTTTCACATGACAAAGGAAAGAAAAGAAAACATAAATCACGTACAATTTTAGAAGAAATAAAACAATTGCGTCAAGTGAGAGAGAATGAATTAGAACTAAAAAAAAAAAAAATTGAAAGAAAGTTGTTCAGAGCCGAAATTTTAAAACTTGAGAGGGAGAAATTAGAAGCATATGGGAGAGGAAATAATTTGTTCAAAAATCAGCTGTAAATAATATTGAATACTGGATCTATTGAGTTGTATCTATCAGAAAAACTATATTTTGTTACTATAAAAGTAGTATGTTATGATCTCCATGTTGTTAAAAACCAATTGCTGGCAAGGTATCTGGTTATACTCTAGTCCTTTGGTTATTTAGTTTAGTATTTTCTTTATGTTTATAGAAATTTATATTTTTTTATTTTTTGAGTTGATGTACTGAATAGAACCAAAGAAATCATTACCAATTTTTTATTCCTCAGTTTCTAAATATTTGTACCTATGACATTCAATTATTTTGGAGGCAACTCTGAACGAATGTTGTTTCTTATGGCTCTACCTAGTTCAGTATTTTGTACCAAAGAAGTTTCATCCTCATATACATTATTATGGAATTCCAAGAGTGAATCATTGTATTCAGAATCTTCAAATATTGTTAGTTCTTTCAAACCAGATATGTTGTGTAACACACAACAGGCTCTAATGAAATGGTATAAGTTTTCTATGCCTTGCAGTTTGCAGTAATAAAGTTGCCTGAAGCGCTGTTTCAATATTCCAAATGTATGTTCTATATCCACACGGCCCCGGGTCAATCTGTGATTGAAATTTTTTGCAGCAATGGACAAGTGTCCATGATCACGATATGGTGTTATGAGATGTTGCTGGCAGGTATGAGCAGAGTCACCAAGAATATATTTATCTAGAAAACAAATTATGACTGAAATTACTAATAATTTATTATTCAAAACTATCTATCTTTACATAAATAACCAATTTCCTTTGAAATTGTTGAATTCTGAAATACTCCTGAATCATGTACTGATCCTGGATATCCTGTGAATATGTCAATGAATTTTCATGTTCATTACAAATTCCTTGTAGATGTGGAGAGAAATGAAACCTTTCCTATTGAAATACTGGTCTTTCTCAGTTGCAGGTGGATCAATTCTAATATGTGTTTCATCAATAGATCCTAGAATAATACAGATGGTAAGACTGTATGAATGCTCTGATGGGTCTATTCACAACCTACTACTCCAGGAAACTTGTATTTGGTATTATAATGGTCCACAGTACAATTCCTCTCTTCCTGAGATGGCCACTTGATATATGCACTAGATATATTACTGATAAAAAATGTGATTCTTCTGATTATATGATGAATAGTGGATATAGAGAGATTGAAGCGATCACTCAAGTCATTGAAACTACAGGCCTCATGACCTGCAAACCATAAAAATACCAACATATGAAGAGAGGGTCCATTCACTCTTCTGCTCTTTGATAGTTTTTTATATTCATCATTTCTATCATACATTTCAACAAGTTGGTTGAACAAGTCACGACTTATTCGGAAATGTTTTATGAAGTGATCATCACTGTATTCTGAGACAGTTTCCAAGTATGTTTCAATCGACTTTCTTTTTTGACGAACGAATAAACAGCTCATCATGTCCAGTTCGTCATCATTGTCTTCACAACTGCTCGAGTCCGATGGAATATTGAGGAAAAAACTATGATCCTGGTCATCAGTGAATATCTTGTTAACTTCTTTCGGTGGGCATTAGTTAGATTAAAAACAATCATGCTACGATTAAACTGTATTAAAATCAATCCTTTATTTGACAACACAAAAATATATGGGTTCAAGGCATCGCGGTTACAATCTCGACTGTCTCTCTTTCTTCTCTCTTCCCTACTTCTACTACCAACTTAAATAATCTAATGACAATATTGAGCATTACTGGTTGCGTACTATATTAGATATCATTCGGCCATTTCTGACTTTGAAGTCGCCCTCGACTTACAAAACAAACTAATACTAACTCTCAATTTTTTCAAACTTGAAAATTAAACATTAAAACAATGGCATTATACTTCTAATAATCTGTTTCATAATCTGACAAATATCTGGGTTTTCTTGTCGTTCTTCTCGGGGTTTTCTCTTGCTTCGTTTTCTTCTACTTCGTTTGCTTCGTTTTCTTCTGTTTCGCTTGTTTCATTTTCTTCTTCTTCTTCTTCTTCTTTTCTTCACTATCTTCACTTTCTTCACAATTTCTATAAAATTTCAGCTGGGAAACATTTGCTGTTGTTGTGTATTTTCGATGTTCAGTCCCTTCTATACTTGACAATCGATAAGTATCTCCTGGCAATACTTCGATAACTGTCAGTGCTCCTCTATATGTTGAGTTTTCGTTGACTGGCCGGTATTAATTGGTTGGATGCTCATCATGACTATATCTCCGACATGATATTCTAATCCTTGGTAACGTTTTTTGTCGATCTCTTTTTATACTTTTCCTGTTGTTCCCTTATTCTAGTCCTGATCTCTTCTTGTATTTCAGCTGGTGGTGTCCATTCATCTGTGTCGTTGATCGTTTGGCTTAATTTACCATCCTCGAACACCGGTAGATATCCATACAAGGCTTCAAATGGACTTCTATTGGTGGTTTTATTTATGGCTTTATTCAGGTTCCTTTCCACCAATGACAATTTCTCGTCCCATACTTCTTCATGTTCCATTGCTGTCATTATCGTTGGGACTAAAGTTCTCATCACTCTTTCCACTTGTCCGTTCACTTGTGGCCATCTAGTTGGAGTTGAAGTGTGCTTGATTGTTAAACTTTGGCAGAACTGTTGCCATTCATCTGATGTGTAGCATGTTCCTCTATCACTGACTATTATTTGTCTGGGAACACCATATGAATTTATAAAATTTTGGAAGGCTCTCAAATTCTCCTTTGCTTTTGTACTCTCTACTGGATATAATTTCACAAACTTTGTCGGCGCATCTATTATTACTAGCACATACATATTTTCAGCATTGCTTTTCACAAATGGGCCCACATGGTCCAAGTGTATTCGACCAAATGGTCTATCTGGGGGTTCTTGTGGGTGCAATTCCCATGGTTTCTTGCCTCCTGGAACTTTGCTGATTAAACATTCTGGACACGCTGCAATGTGCCTTCTAACATAGCGCTCCATTCCGGCAAACCAATATTTTTCCTTGATTTTCCGTACTGTTCTATCTACTCCTTGATGACCTAACAAGTCATGGTGTTTCATCACTGTACTTTTCCTCATGGTCTTCGGTATAACATACAAGACTTCTTCCTGTTTTTCAACAATTGTTTTTCCCAATAATCGGGCATCCTTCAGTACGTACATAGCCATTTGTTAAGTTTCTTTCTCCTGATGATCGTTCATCTTCAGACTTCTTCAGTATATCGTTAATTTCTTTCAGCTTACTGTCATTATACTGTATCATTAGTATGTAGTCTTCTCCATCTAATGCTTGCAATACTTCTAGCTTTTCATGTATCCCATCTATGGTATCTGATGATTTTTGCACTGGTGCTCTGGATAGTGCATCAACATGTTGCATCTTCTCTCCTTTTCGATGCTTCATTTCCACATCATATTCCTGGAGTAAGTTGAACCACCTGGAAATTTGTGCATGTTCAGTTCTTGCAGTATTCAAGTAAACAATGGCTTGGCAATCAGTATAGACAACAAAACGAATGCCAACCAAAAACTTGTGCAATCTTTGTATACACCAAACTACTGCCATCAATTCCAACTTTGTTGAGTGATATTTTGCCTCAACTTCTGTTGTCTTTTTCGATACATAATACACGGGATAGAGTTCTCCTTGACTATCGCCTTGAAGCAACATTCCAGCCAGCCCTGCAGAACATGCATCTGTATGTAGCTCTGTCCTGTCAGCCCTAGGATTGTACATTTTTAAAACTGATTCATTGCACAGTGCATTACATAAATCTTTGAAAGCTGATTCTTGTTTTTCGGTCCATTCAAACAGTTTATTCTTTCGAGTTAAATCACTAATTGCTCTGGCTCGTACTGCATAATTAGGCACAAATCTGCGGAAATAAGCAGTTAGCCCTAATAATCTACGCACTTCATGAACATTCTGCGGTTTTGGGTAATCTTTTATCGCGGCTATCTTGACAACACCGGGTGTGATTCCGTCTGCAGTTACGGTAAATCCTACATATTCAACTTTGGTAAGTCCAAACATCCATTTTCTCAACTGCAATGTTAAATTTGCTCGTTTTAATGCATCTAAAACCAATTCAATTTTGATGATCATTTCGTCCCAATCCTTTGCTCCTATCAACAAATCGTCGATGTTACACATACAAACTTTATTTTTCAAAGGTCCGACCACCAAATTCATCAGTCTACAAAATTCGTATAGTGCGTTTGTTATTCCAAACATCATTCTTACAAATTGTCCCGTTTCATCAGGAGTAATAAATGCGCTCTTCAGTTGAGCATCCCCACTAAGTGGTATCTGTTAACATCTATGCGCAAGGTCAAGAGTTGTGAGAATTTTGCAGGCACTTAACCTCTCAAATTGTTCCTCTATAGTAGGAATTGGATATGGTACTTTTTCTGTCTGTCGATTAAGTTTCCTGTAATTCACCACTAATCTAGGTTCACCTGTCTTTTTCTTTACCAGTAGAACTGGACTAGCATATTGACTTTGTGTTTCTGTTACTATCCCGAATTTTTTCCATTCTTTTACTATTCCCGAAATAGTTTCCCGCTCCTCTAAACTTGTTCTATATGGTTTTGATACGACTGGTATATTATTATCGCGAATGTCCATTGTGATCAAATTTGTACAACCAAGTTCATTCAAATTAAACGCGAAACACACGCGATATTTGTTAAATAGTTCAACAAGTCTATTTTTCACATCAACTGGCGCAGAGTCATCAACATTTATTTGTTTAATGGTAATCGGTTCTTTAGTCACTGCATACTGTTCATTGTTTTGTGATTTTTCGTTAACTCGACCTAAAGTTTTTCCATCTTTTATTACAATGTCTTTTTTTGTTAAATTCATAACCGGCACCAAATGTTCTTCACTGCAAACATTTGCATCAATCAATATGATACTTTGCGATTTTACTATACTATTGCCTGTTACTTTTATTACACTTTGTCGCGAACTAGGTTCAATGTCAGTGTCTTTAAACGGAAATTCATGTCTGTACACTTCACAACTTTGAATGATCATCAATTCGATAATATGCAATGTCAGAATGTTCAGTGAATGTTCTTCCTATGATTGCATCGACTTCCATCATATCATCATGCACAACACAAACAACCACAGGATCGATGTGAACTAGGTCTACACTTACCTTGGCATCCATCACCCTTACACATCGTACAGGTGACTTACCACTACCAAAACCATACAAGTCAATCTCCTGAAGTCGAATGGGCCATCCATTCTGCCTCACAATGCCTTCTTTGACTATACACATTGAACTATCAATATCGATGAGTCCATCCATCTCAAAACCATTGATTTTCACTGGTGTAATAAATCTTCCACTGGTTACTCGTTTTTCAGTCTCTCGAACAGTCATCACAGGTTCATCCTCTGCATACAGCTGTTGGTAGACACTCCTTTTCCTCGTCTGAGGACGGTTGTTGGAGTAGTAGACCCTCCGTTTCTTCCACCTTGGGTTCAGTGTTGCCACAGCTGGCCCAATATGGCCAGATCTGGCCCTCTTTGTGATCAATTGGCCCTTTGGCCCTTTCTCGAGTTTGGCCCATTTTTCCATTTGATATTTTATACATTATATTTTTTTCAATGTTCTTTTAGTAGCTCTAATCTGAACGTGCATTAGCGTTTGGGGCCATTACCGGAACCGGTCACGGTCACATAGTCACAGCCTTCCTTATCCTTCACGACATGTGGGTTAATTAGAGAATGAAGAAGAAGAAAAGTTTGACATTTCAATATGTCAATAATGATATGTCAATGTCAATTCATAACATTGTTTTATGCGGTTTTATGTCATTGATTAGAAGAAGTCGAAAGAGTTTATTCATTCTCAAGTTATGATTTTGATTAATCATGGATAAGTAAGAAATTAACTTCAAATTCCTGGTTTGTTAAATTTTATTCATGTTGAAAATATTTTTTAGATATGTCAACCTGAAGAACCTGAAACCCAATTATGATGCTGGAATAAGTGGAGGATCTAGTAGTAAATTTGATTTGAATGACTCCGGTTCCCTATCAGAGTGAGAAATAATCTTGAAATTTCTGGTTCCTTGTTTATATAAATAATATTTTTTTAGCTGTTGCAGTAAAAATAAAAAGCTAAAATCAAATCATGGAGCTGCAGTTGCAGGACCAAGTACTCCTAGTAGTAGTAGTAGTAGTCATAGTATGAGTAAGAGTACATTATTTGTGGTTACTGAGACTGACTCTGAGGCTGAAGCGGAACTCCAGAATGTATCTTTAGAGGTAGAGGTGGAAGATAATGGAAGCATGATATTTGACAAAAGCGGAAATGAAGAAGACGATACAGAAGACGAGGTGGAATCTGTTCAGCCTGTGGTTCAGAAAAAGAAACTCAATATTCACAAGCATAAATTTCAAGAGAAGTGGCTACAGATTTACCCGTGGTTGAGATTTGATAATAATAAATTATTGTGCTATCCTTGCAACAACCATTTAGGATTCAAAATCTATGACATTAAAAGACATGACCATAAAAAAAACTGTTCGAAGCTGAGAAATACACCAAAAATAACCAACGTCTTAGAAAGTGAAGCAGTTTTAAAAAAACACCAACAAGTAAAGAGAGCAGAGTTGAAAATTTGTGCATTTTTGCATGAACACAACTTACCTTTTTTATTAGCAGATCACTTACCAAAGTTCATAAGAAGTATATGCCCTGACTCAGATATTGCCAAAAATATCAACTGCAGTCGCACCAAAGCTACATATTCAACTAATGAGTGCATAAATCTTGAACAGTTGGAATATCTATCAAATATATTGAAGAAGAACAAGTTTTCATTGCTCATTGATGAAACTACAGATATAAGCACTGAAAAATCTCTAGCAATGGTGATAAGATTCTATAATGGTTATATTAAAAAGGTAAATGATCCATTTTTTGGTTTGCTAAAACTAAATGATTGCACTGCGCAGTCAATATTTTCAGCAATAATTGATAATTTCAACAAACTCGGAATACCTATCGAAAACCTTGTTGGTTTTGCTGCAGATAATGCAGCAGTTATGAAGGGAAATAGGATCCAGGCCCGATTTAAAGAAATCTTGTCGAATATATACACATTGGGGTGTGTTTGTCATTCTGTTCATTTGTGTGCATCAGCTGCTGCTGGAAAATTGCCCAGTACAAATAGAGGATTTCATTAGAGATGTATACAATTACTTTTCCAATAGTTCAAAACGAATTGACCAATTCAATGAATGCCAGATATTTTGTCATTTGAAACCTCACAAGCTCCTACATCCCGCCCAGACCCGTTGGCTATCTCTACAAGCAGCTGTAGACAGAGTTTTGGAAAACTGGGATCCACTTATATTGTTTTCCACCAATGAATGTTTTCATGAAAATTTGTCGATTTGTAACAATATATTACTTGGGTTGAAAAATCCAATTCACAAATTATATTTATCTTTTCTAAGTTATATTTCAGACATAGTTAACAAGCTCAACTTAGAATTTCAGTCAGAAAAAATAAAAATTCACACATTTCTGGATAAGGTGTCAGATCTTTACAGAAATATTTTGAGAAATTTTCTGAAAGCTGCTTACATTGAAAAAAATAAAGATAATTTGAAGAACATAGATCCAAGAAATCCGAACAATTTTTTAAACATTGAAAATGTTTATTTAGGGGAAAGTAGAAGTGCTTCTTGCTCAAGAACAATCAGTAGGTGAAACTGAAATTAAAGAGTTTAAACTCAATTGCCTCAAGTTTTACATTGAACTAGTGATCCAAATAAAATGTAGATTTGATTTTGATGATCCTATTTTAAAATTTCTCAAGGTTATCAATCCAAAAAATGCCGTGTCAGGGGAAGTGACTGGTATGGCTACCCAGAGCTTGAGATATTTTCCAAATTTAGTTGAAGACATAGAAAAACTAAATAAAGAATGACGATTGTTGCCAGATATCGCAGAATTGAAAAATCATATTGTTTCAGATTTAGAATCATTTTGGAACCAAGTGTTCAATTCAAAAAATGTCATGGAGGAACCTACCCTAACAACACGAGAACGTCCCAGGGGCGTCCCAGGGACGTCCTTCATTTACTACGAGGATGCACACTTGCATGGTGGTTGACGAGACGAGGGAGAGAGGAAAGGCAGCGACCGTTGCCTGCAGCGACTGAGCGGTGGAATGCGGGTCTCCGAAGGGTCGAAGCCATTCGAGGGGCATTCGAAAACTATACATTGAGCAAGTTACATGCGATATCACAATTTTACGTTGCGCAATAGTTGTTGTATTCATCTGAATAAAAGTACGAATTCGATGTGCAAGTAGTTCATTTCAACGAAGTTTATTACAGTCCACTCATTACTAAACACATATATAGTGCGTCCATAAAGTAACGCATGAATTCATTATTGGCTAAATGAACAATAAAATTAGAAATTCCCGAAACAGTTCGATTTTTGATTTCAATTTACTATAGTTTCAAATCATAATCTAATATACAGGGTGAACCACTTTCTTGTAATGACGTCATCACCATTTTTTTCAAATGGAACCCCCTTTTTTTCAATTTCAGAATTGCCCTTGCTGAGCTGATTCCAAAAATGTATAATATGTTGCTTCAAATTGGTACGGGGTGGGCAAAAATGCAAAAAAAATATGAAAATTGTTTTTGGAAAGTGATACGTTACTGAATGTAATAAACAAATTAAATAGAATTATGTAGTTATGCAATTAATGTGATACACTTCCGAAAACAAACAAACAAACGAAAATTCACAATGAATTGTTGTTCAAATTGTTCTCCATTGACCGTTAGACAATGACTGAACCGGGCATTACTCTCGTCTCTAACATTCTGCAGAATAGCGGGTATTATGCTCTGTAATTCTTGTCTGTTTCTTTCTTGTAGTTGAGGGATATTTCCAGGTCTGTTTAAGTAGACTTGAGATTTTAAATAACCCCATAAAAAGAAGTCTAATAGGCTCAGATCAGGTGATCTAGTAGGCCATTCCACTGGTCCCCTTCTTCCTATCCACCTTTGTGGAAAAGTTGTGTTTAAAAAATCGCGCACAGTTACTGCGAAATATGGCGGTGCGCCATCCTGTCGTTGAAACCAGATTCTGCGGTCTACATTAGTGGGTATTTGAATATCAGGAAAAAGCTGGATTAGATCAGGAATTAATGTATTCTGTAGGAAATCCAGATATAATGCTCCTGTTATGTTTTCATCAAAAAAATATGGACCAATAATTGTATTTCTCACAATACCAGCCCATACGTTGGTTTTTTGTGGTCTTTGCGTATGGTACTCTTGCATCCAGTGTGGATTTTCATCAGACCAATAACGGGTGTTATCAATGAAATTGTTATTTTGGTTCATCATATACTCGCAGAATTCAGTTCTTCGGTCAAAGTCGTCTTCAGCCAATTCATGGATGGGACGTACTTTATAAGGATGGTATTTTACCTTTTTAAAAATGTTTGATACTGAAGACTTTCCAATACCAAAATCCCTAGATAATCCTCGCACTGTACAGTGTGGATCTTCTACAGCCGACAAAATTATGTCTTGTTGAATATTTTCATCAATTTTTGGTCTACCTTGCTTTGCTGCATCCCTCACATGTCCTAATTCTCTGTATTTTCGCTCTATTCTACTTACCGTAGATTGTGAAATATGTTCACGATCTGAGTGCATTTCATGGAATAATCGGCATAGGTACCTCTTGTTGAGTCCGCATCTTATCGCCAATACCAATCATCATTAATATTTCAATCTTGTCGGTTGAAGGCATTTTGCAAAAAAAGTTCACGAACGTACCTTCTCTGAAGCGTTAACAATACGAAACAGTGCTTCAATGATTTTGACAGTTTTGTCAAATTAAAAAAATGGTAAAAGATAATGCCAAACAAAAATATTTTTAAAGTCCACGGACTTGGATCACTAATAAAAGCTGTAAGATACAATTATTAAGAATAATGCTGGATGTTCTTGATAGTTTATCAAAGTAGTTGTATAATAATACGTAATTTAATTTAATTTGTTTATTACGTTTATTCATTATTTTTATTACTTTGTAAGTGAATTTTTGCATTTTTGCCCACCCTGTACCAATTTGAAGCAACATATTATAAATTTTCGGAATCAGCTCAGCAAGGGCAATTTGGAAATTGAAAAAAAAGGGGGGGTTCCAAATGAAAAAAATGGTGATGACGTCATTACACGAAAGTGGTTCACCCTGTATATTAGATTATGATTTGGAACAATAGTAAATTGAAATCAAAAATCGACCTGTTTCGGGAATTTCTAATTTTATTGTTCATTTAGCCAATAATGAATTTATGCGTTACTTTATGGACGCACTGTATACATTCAGATAAACAATTGGCATATAGGTGTAGTGAATGTTACTTCAAAGTTTAAACATAAGTTGCTAACTATTGGAACATATAGTAATGTTAAGTTGGCTATGCCACGCCCACCAGTCTAAGATTGGCAGCATCTGTTATGAAATAATACATGTCACGTGGTTGTAGTTCGGTAATCTCGAGCCTGTAGTTCGGTAATCTCGAGCCTGTTTGTAATGTATAACAGTTTGATCTGACCATGAGTTTTTGATAATCTAATAAAGTCTTGTCGATGCACTATTCGTCGTGTTATCATTTATTAGAAACATAACAGTAAATCTGGCGACGAGTAAAATCGTGTCTCACGTGCCGAAAGTCAAAACAGTCTAATATGTCTAGTAAAAATGAGGTGGTGAGATGAATGCATTTTGTCTGTTGGTTTTGTCATGCGGCGTCAGTCAAGTCGAGTAAAAAACAAACCAACAGTCAAGTCGAAAAGTGTGTCAATCGTATCCATACAGTCAGATTAGTTGTCGAATATGGCTTTAATAGGATCGATCGAGCAGTTTAATTCAAAAGTCACGGATGAATCTGCCTACATGGAGAGGTTAGAGCAACTCTTCATATGCAATGTCGTCGAAAACGAGAAAAAGGTCCCTCTGTTGTTTACATTAATGGGTGGTGAGGCATACAACTTCCTGAAGGATATATTAGCTTCAGTTTTGCCAAGCACAAAGTCCTATGATGAAATGAAAAGTGCTTTGAAGAATCACTACAGTCCAAAGAGGTTGACTATAGCAAAACGCTACAAATTTCATATGGCAGTGCAAGAACAGCAAGAAGACATCAAAATGTTTTATGCCAAACTGAAAAACCAATCACAGTATTGTAATTTTGGGGCTTTCTTGAATGACTACTTGAGAGATAGGTTTTATTTGTGGTGTTCTTTCGTCTGCTATAAAACGAAAACTTTTGTCTGAGGATAACTTGACCTATGAAAGAGCCTATGAGTTAGCTGCAGCTATGGAATCAGCTGAAGGTCAGGTAAAGTCAATGAATTTTTAAAGCTCAATAGCTTTAGTTGATATGAACTTTACTACTTTTCATTTATTTTTCATAAATAAAAATAAGCAAAGCAAGTCTCATAACTGGCTCCGGCAACTCTTGGGTCTGGTGAGCAAAGGCCTAGAGTTTTGACCTTGTTTGGTTGCTAGTTAGGCGCCACTTAGTTTGTTTTTTCAAGTGAAAAACTAAGAAAAATCATATATTGATGTAAAAAAAATATGTAATAGAAATTGAATTTTAACCTGAAAGAAAATTATCAGAAGTAATAAAAGCACACTTGTGGTCTCAGGTTTTGTTTAATAAGGATTGAAATTGTAATCAGCAAAATACACCATTTTCATCCTTCACAGTAGGGTGACTCGAATCTCACCAAATTCAGCAAACAATGGATAATATGATAATATACTGTTGTATGTATTAGCTCCCCGTTATAGCCCTATACCGAAGCTCACATGAAATTTATATCAACTCAGTAATTCTTACATAACCAGACAACAAAAATAATAATACCAAGATTTTGGAGTATATGGTGATTCTTATAAATTAACTCAGTATATATTGAATTCGAGGTTGACTCCAAAAATGTTCAACATGGGGAAAATTGGAGAGATGTTACTTGTCTCCTACAATGGTGGTGTGGAGGGTGAGATAGTGGCCCCCTTAACAGGAGTTCCGAAGCTTCCCTACTGATGTAGATCAGCCATGCCTCAAGCTGCCAATCTCAATTTTCCTGAACCCTTCGATCGCGGCCAAAACTGGTCCAGAAGGTAGCTGAATCCAGGGAAGGAATGCCCTAGATGAGCCCCAGGAGCATGCAGCCCTCCTAACTCGTGCGTGGACGTAGAAATCGCCGAACAGCCAGGAACGAGACCGGGAATAAGAAGCTCGTGCATCCAGGAAGATGCTCTTGTGGAAGTTTCATTTAGGGAAGTCAGGTGAGATATCCGTGGAAGTTCATGAAGTCCGGTCCCAAGGGAACCCAATATGGCCGGTATGGTCAGTGATTGAAACTCAGACACCCCGTGAAAGGCACTCAAATCTACGACAATACTAAAACCTGTAGAAACTAAATAACCAAATACTCACCTGCTGAATCGGCACCTGATTGGTTTATTCACTGCAATCTTCATCGCTGTCAATAACGTGACACTTCCGTCAATTCAAAACTAGTGCGGGAGATAATTATTGATAACTAATTACAGCCAATAGTAATCGAACAGCTGGAAACTACCTAGACTCTCCGACTGGTGGTAAACTACCTAGACTCTCCGAGTGTTGAAGCATGGTGTGCATTAAAACAGCATATAGCCATCTTTCTCGTACCCGAACATCTAACAAGGACGCCAGGGGCCGTATTCTCGACAAGTGAGCTTTTTGTCGTATACGCATCAAAACGAATGGTTCATGTGCGAGTACTCCTCCAAAGTGGTATTCTTGACAACCACTCGCTTCGCAAAACGTATACGCTGGAAAACGTGCGATCGTGATGCGATCAGAGCATCCGGCACCACTGTAATATTTCACGAAAGTCGTAAATTGGTTCGTTAATTCACGTTCTGTGAATTATAACATCTATCAATGTGAAAAATAACCGGCAAAGATTCAAATTCTTTTAATATTGTTTATATTGCAACTGCTGTGTGCAAGCAACTTTTATTCCACCCTCAATCTTTTATTTGAATAATAAATATGTCTCTGCGAGAAAAAAAAGTCAAATAACAGAAAGTCAGAAGAACTGCCTTATTGAATTTTTGAAAAGAAACTCGAATCTTCAATCTGGTAAGTTTTCCAATCAGCTCACATTCAAAGACGCTCAAAGGAAATGGACTGAAATAGGTACTATACTCAATAGCATGCCGGGTGCTACCAGAGATTGGAGGGTTGGAGAAAGGTAACATATATATGACTCCAGTGATCCATTTAATGTAATTATTATATACCTACCTATGTTTTACACTTGGCAAGATCTGAAATCCAGGACGAAGTTAAAAGTAAGCAATAAAAGTAAGCATGTCAGAGGAACAGGTGGTGGACCCCCAGTCGAAGAGGAATTGTCTGAACTAGAAGAAGACATCGTAGACATTGTAAAAGTGGTTTCCATCAAGGGTCATAAGGAAACAGCTGAATCAGTAGTCAACTTCAATTATTCTGATGATCACTATTTTTTAGAGAATACAGATGATGATCAAGAAAATGAAGTTTTGATGATAGAAGGACCATCTGCAGTAAATGATGGACAGGTTCCAGGAACTTCCAGAGAACCTGTCACAGAAAACAGAAAGGCGGAACCTACTTCAATTGAAAAACCAATTCCTAAGAAAAAGAAATCTTCAACTCTGAGGCACCCTATCGATGCAGTAAATGACTTCAAAGTAGGTATAGGTATAGGTATAGGTATAGTAGGATACAAAGATAGGAATAAAAAAAATATTACAGTGAAAAGATTGAACTGATGAAAAGGATTACCATTGCAAAAGAAGGGAAAGCAAATGCTTCAGAGAGAAGAGCTAATGCAGAGGAAAGGACTGCTTCTGCCTATGAGAGAATTGCTATGGCATTAGAAAGTTTTTCTGAAAGCATACTGTAATATGAGTCTAGAATCTGTTATAGTTGCACTATTATTTACTACTTATTTTTTGAATGTATAGTACCTAGTATGAATGGTATTATTTGTTGTGAAAAGGAAATTATATTTTTTTGTTATTATGTGGAATAGGTATTGATTTTTTTCTATTGTTTTTTTTTCAATAAATATATCTTACCATTACAGATCTGTTTAATCCAAACTAAAAGAATAAAATATCTATGTATATTCACAAATATTCAAATATATCACTCAGCTTCTAGGTTCTGTATTATGGTTGATCGTAATCTTCTACCTACTGCCAATTCTGGATTGATTCTTCGAATATTTTCCTCATTGTCTCCAATATGTATAAGAGGGGCATATATTCCTAAATCAGCCTGTGCAATGTCATTATGTTCAATTAAGCTCCAAATTGCTTTCTGTTTCTTATTATAAAAGTACTCAGGAGTACCTTCTGCTGGCTCATTTTCCAAAGGAGTCATCAACCATGTTCCCAGTGGATATCCAGAATCACCTAAAAATAAAATGAATTGAATTAGTCAAAAAAATTATTCACAGAAATAAATAAGATGATTAGTTTAATCATCAGGTACCTAATATATAATTATTTATTCAATAGAATAGAGAGTGATTAGATTGAATTGATGAAAAAAACATATATACATAGCAGTAATAAGTCCTACCTAATAAATAATAATTAGTATTTTCAGCTTCAGCATTGTTTGGACATTAGAACTATTCCATATAAATGCATCATTTGTACAACCAGGAAACAGAGCATTCACATTCAAAATTTTCAAATTGTAGTCACAAATTAATTGTACATTTATTGAATGGTAGTTTTTTTTATTCACATAGATATTTTCAGGATATTCATCATCATGTACTATTGGAGGATATGCTACATGAGTGCAGTCAATACAGCCAATTACGCCTGGAAAATTATATCTTCTATAGAATCTGTAAAACACAAAGTACATAATCACTTGAATAAAGCCAATTATTATAATTTTGAATCTTACTCTGTTCTTAGCTGATTCAACTGGTCAATGTTGGCAGGAAATTTGACGAATCTTTGGAAAATTTCGACTCGGACTCTTATTTTATTTGAATCATCTCGAGCAAATTATTGTTTGAAACGACAAAACAGTTCGACCCTATGCATATTAGGTATACCTAATAATATAGGTAAAAGCTCCCTCGAGTTAAATATCTTGGGCATTATTCAGATTATTGATGTTAATATGTTGTATGCGAGGTTATATGTTCACATCAAATTCTCAAAATACCAGATACCTACTATTTCTCGAGAAAATAATAGTCTACTTTTTTTCATGGTCAAGGGATATCATATACTTCTTTCTACGGTTCTAACACAAAATTACTATATCAGTATGGGTTGAATGGAGTTTCTCCTCCACACATAAAATTCATAATACCATATTTCTTCCAGAGGATTTGGAGAACCCCGAGGATGACACATTATTGAGAGAGGTCAAGGACATACATCTCGATTTAGTGGATAACTCTCGAATTTCAAACAGAAAATGTCATGTTCTTATATATAATGATACCAAAAAAATTACCCTGATAAAAAGAACCCTCTGTTGGCTCTTAGACGACAAAAACCCTCGCTTGAGTGCCGATAGACTGCAGCGAGTTAGAGGCCCCAAATGCTCTACTGAAGTCTTGATGCCAATGAAAGCCATAGCAGCCAGAAAAAGAAAAAGGTAGTCTCCAGAAAGTAGTACTGGAAGTTCATCAGTTTGTTCACCTTCCTATGCAGACAGTGATGATAGTGAGACATTTTCAGACTTGGAAAATAACAAATCCGAAAATCCAGTAGTAACCCCAACCCCAGCTATCATCCTTTCTCTTGAGAAATATTATGCTGTTGCCTATATGGAAGGTTGGTAGGTTGATTGATTGATTGATTAATGGCAGAATGATCAGTCAGGGTTTGAAGCCCAAAACACTGCAGCCTTTGGGCCTATTGTATTCCTGATCATGCTGTTGACTCAGGTGAACAGGTTCGCTACCTTGATGAGGTTTAGCAGCCTCTTCACCAGATCATTCTTTGAAAATGCCTCTTGAGAGTTTACTGCTCCCAGAAGGTTGTATCTCCAACGCGCTAGTGCTTCGCACTCCAGTATTACATGGGTGGCAGTTTCCTCCTCCTCATTGCATAGTCTGCATATGGGTTCGTCTGAATAGATGCCCATTTGATGCATATGTTTCCTCAAGGGGCAGTGACCGGTTATTAGTCCCGTCACTTGTTTGATCTGACTTCTGTTTAGGCTCAGAATGTCGTTAGTCACTGTTTTGGACAGTGTTCCAACCATCAGTTTACTGTGTCTTTGTCCTGGGACATTGTTCCAGTATGCCTGATGTCTTTCTTGCGTCCACCTTGCCAGCCAGCCGCGTATTGAGGTTTTGGGGATACCGAACACAGGTTCCGGCCCCATAAACAACGTCGCAGACCCCTGCCGGGCAAGAGCGTCAGCTGCTTCATTGCCTTCAATTCCCTTATGCCCTGGCACCCATTGAAGAGTTACCTTGTTGTGGTTAGCCAGGGTTAGCAGGCTTTGAAGGCAATCCCAGACCAATTTTGATCTGATTTTATTGCATGTTAGAGATTGAATGGCCGCCTGACTATCTGAGCATATGAGGATTTGTTTACCTCTGTATCCTCTTACTATATTCTCTCTCAGGCATGCCTCAATAGCATGCACCTCTGCCTGGAATACTGAAGCATACCTCCCCAAGGAAGCACACATCCTGGTTCTGGGTCTATCTCCATATATTCCGGCTCCCGTGCCCTCATCAGTCTTAGAACCGTCAGTGTACCATACTAACGTGCCTTCCTGACAGTTAGTCAAGACCCTTTCATCCCAGTAGAGCTGAGTGTTGAAGGGTCTGTAATAGTTATTTCTAGGCAGCATTTTGTCCCTTCCCATATCCATTAGTGGGCTTGAAACTTGGCTGATTATTTTTGTATGTCCCAGGGAGTCACCCCGAGCATACCAGTTGCCGGTACACTCCAGTCTGTATGCCCCCATCCTCGCTTCCGCCCTGATGAAGATTTCAAGAGGTGGAATATTGAGTATGGTTTCCATAGCAGCGGTAGGAGTGCTGCGCATAGCACCTGTGATGCAGAGACAAGCTAATCTCTGGAGTTTTGAAAGCTCCATTATAGCTGATCTCTGTTCAGTCTTAGGCCACCAGACAAGCGATCCATATACAATCATTGGTCTCACCACAGCAGTATACAGCCAATGTACCATGCGTGGTTTCAGTCCCCATGTGTTACCAATCGCTCTCCGAGAAGCCATTAGTGCCATTTTGCCTTTGCTGACAGTTTTTCGCAGTTGAGTATTCCAGGTTAGCCTAGCATCTAGGGTTACTCCCAGATACTTAACCTCCTGTGTCATACTTAGCTGTGTGTCAAAAAGTCTGGGAACTTTTAGTTTGTCCAGTTTCTTCTTTTTCGTGAAGGCCACAAGTGCAGTTTTACTAGGATTGACCCTGAGGTCTGCCTTTCTGCACCAGCCCTCTACTCTCTTCAGTGCTCTCTGCATCAAGTCTGAAATAATTTCAGGATGCTGCCCCTCTACTAGAATGACAACATCATCTGCATACCCCTGTGAGTAAATTCCTACATTGTTTAGTTTTTTCAGGAGTTCGTCAATAACCAGATCCCACAGCAGGGGAGAAAGAACTCCTCCCTGTGGGCAACCCCTAGAAATCGTCACCTCCATGGTTTCACCAAGCAATGTGGATTCCGCTGTTCTGTTGTGTAGCATGTTTTTTATCCACCGACATGTGGTGTCTTCCACGCCACGCTCAACAACCGCTGCTACCATGGATATGAAGGGTGTGTGGTCGAATGCCCCTTCAATATCCAGGAAAGCCGCAAGAGCTATGCTCTTGTTGCTTATTGCGGCCTCAAGTTTCCCCACCAGTTGATGAAGTGCCGTTTCACAGGATTTTCCCGATTGATATGCATGCTGGTTTTTATGTAGTGGCCTTTCAATGAGAAAGTTTTCCCTGATATGCATTTCAATTAACTTCTCCATCACCTTCAACATGAATGATGATAGTGTTATCGGCCTGAACGCCTTAGCCTGAGAGTAATCTCTTCCAGGCTTTGGGATGAAGACGATCCTCGCTCTCTTCCATGCAACCGGAATGTACCCCGTTGCCAGGCTTGCTCTCAGTATCCCACAAATAAACGGAGCCAGCTGGTCCTTACCCTGCTGTAGCATTGCAGGGATAATTCCGTCCGGTCCCGGCGCCTTGTAGGATTCAAGAGTTTCTATGACCCACAGCAGTTTACTGTGGTCAACAATCTTCTTCGATACCCGCCAGTCCCCAACAGCAGCCCTCATGTGAGGGTTTAGTGGGTCTGGTAGATTATCGTTTTCAATTTCAACCGAATCTGGCAGATGAGCCCGAAGTAGAATCTCCAGAGTTTCCCTGCCAGTTTCAGTATATCTCCCGTCAGGTTTCATTATATTCCCCATAGGATTAACAGGTGCCTTGGCTAGGATTCGATGGAGGCGTGCTGCTTCAGAGGTTGTTTCCACCTCTCCACAGAAACGCCTCCACGACTCCCTTTTCGCCCTACGGATCTGTTTATTATAATTGGTCAGAGTGATGGAATACTGCCCCCACTCCCCAGTTTTCTTCGCCTTATTGAAAAGTTTGCGTGTTTCTTTTCTTAGCGTTTTAAGTTCTTCGTTCCACCAGCTAACGTCTTTGCTGCTGTTGCGCCTTACCAAAGGACAGTTGTCCTGATATGAGGATATTATTGCCTCCTGCAACTGACAGGAGGCTACCTCTACATCAGTGCCGTTTTTGATAATCTTCTTGACGTTTCCTAGGTTTATTGTTAAGTCCTCTCTGAATTTCTCCCAGTTCGTACCTCTCGGGTTTCGATAGGCTTCTGTCGGGTGTTCAGTATCTGAAATTTCCATACAGATATACCTATGGTCCGACAAGGACGGTTCCTCAGATACACGCCACCGAGTTACCTGAGAGCTTATTCTAGAAGACGCCAGGGTTATGTCAATGATCTCCTTACGAGTTTTGGTAACAAAAGTTGCTTCGTTCCCGCGATTCATTATAACTAAATTCTTAGAAATTATGTAATCTAATAAGAACTCACCCCTTCTGTTTGTGTCACTGCTCCTCCAAGCTGTGCTGTGAGCATTGGCATCAATGCCAAAGATGAGCTGTAGGTTTGAAAGCCTGCAGTACTCCTCTAGCCTCTCCAGTTCTGCTGACGGAGGTGGCCCGATAGAATCGTATGGCAGATACACTGAGGCTATTATGATTTCCGTCCAGATTCCTCCCATACGTATTTTCAGCCTAATTGCTGCCTGGTCCCTAGAACAGAAATCAAGCAGTTTTAGTGCGTGTAGCTCGTTCTTAACGAAAATGCAGGATCTCACATTCCCTGCCGTCAGATCGTATATTACCTTACCCTTGGCTTCTCCCAGTCCTGAGACTCGTCCCCCGTGAATCCAGGGCTCTTGTATCAGGACTATGTCAGCTTCGCCTCGGGACAGGTACCTCACTAAGGCAGCAGTCGCAGCCTTTTTATGCTGCAGGTTTACTTGAAGGACCTGCAGCATCTTCGGCGCTCTTTTTACTTACCACCCTGAAGGTAAGTTGGGACAGGCCTAGGTAGGCTTTGAAGCCTCTCTTGGCCAACTCCTTCAGGTTGAGGTCGTCAATTCCAAGAACAAGGGTAATTCCTTGTTTGTCGGAATTGGTGGAAATAATCCTCCAGTCTCCTGTTTTAATGCCCTTGTTCTGGGTTTCCAGGAGCTGTAGGATCCTAGCCGGCTCCTTGGCGTCCAGGAACTCGGTTGGCACCCATACCACAGCCCTGTGAGTTTTGACCACCTTATTAGCGTCATCGACGCTAAGGGCGGCCCCCTCCCAAGGCTTCAGCGTAGGCACCTTCCGCTTGAGCCATTCTCTGGATTCCTCATTTTCGCAGGTTAGGATCAGCACCCCCGATTGAGGGTAGCTGCCTGCGAATTGAGGCCCAGTTCCTGGCTCACATCTCCAGATCTCTCTCGTAATAAGAAGCTGGATTTGCTTCACCTGCTCCAAAGATAGCTTGTCTTCGGGATAGTTGCCCGTAGTCACTGCCATCTTAAAGGAGGTCAGGGCCTTACTGTAACTGCCTCCAGTTGGTGTACTGACGGGTTTAGTTACAGAAGGTCCCGCAGAGACACTCTGTTTGCTCCTCTTAAGGAGCGGCGAAGGTGTGCTGGTCTCGGATCTCCCCCTCTTTCCAGCGGCCTCGCAGACTTTCCCACTTCCCGTTGTGGAGATGGTTTTGTCTGGTCTCTTAAGACATGATGGATTTACGGCCACCAGTGCTTGAGGTTTTTTCGTGGGCCTCCGATTTGACCTAGGCTTCCTAGGAATGATCGGGTCCCCACGAGCCATAGCCGCCTGGATCGCCAGCTTCCTGCGCTGCGCTCCAGACATCTTCACTTTTGTGTCCGGCAGATCCTGAGGGTTTGGAACCGGTGGCTGCTCACGGCTGCCCCCAGATTCCTCCCCTTCCTCTGTCGACTCCATCAGCTCCTGTAGGATGCGCTCTTCCTCCACAGTAACCAAGGTTTGATGTGCCTCAGTTCCCGTTCCAGAAGAGTCGCCCTCCAGAAGCCTATTCTCTGCATCCAATGAAGATGAGGATGGTGTCCCCTCAACCT